GGCTATATTTAGGTCTAGGCCGAGTATGCCCTCTGCCTTCCAAGTGCAAAAAAACGCCAAAGCAAAATGTCTCTTCATTTCCTGCTGGAGAGTTATGTGTATTCTTTCTTCATTGTGTTTTAAAACTTTCCAATATGGATACAGTCTAGTGTCCGGCAGCTGCATGGTCCTTCCTCTGTGACAGCCCCAACAGCACATGGTGTCACTTCAATGCTGTCAGGACCATGGGCACTAATACAGGCCCTCAGCTGTCCCTGCCCAGCCTCTCCTCACCCCTGCCTATGGCACATGACCCCACTTCAGTCCCTGCCCCAGCGGTACCATAGGAGGCTGATCTGCCACAGCCATGCTCTGCCTGGCCATGGCTCTACCAAGCCTGTGCTGACCTGCATGCTGACATCCTGGCCCGGCCTCAGCCCATTTCCATCCCCAGTGTCCTGCCTGGCCATCCCAGGGCTGTGTCTGATCCTGGTTCCCTGCACCAGGCTTGAACCTGACCCCCACCCGTGGGGTTATGTCCTGTACTGGCCTTGTCCACTCCCATCCCCAGGGAGTTGCTGATGTCTGGGAATGCCCCCAGGCTCCCCTGGCCCCTGGTTGGGGTGTTAGGAGAGGCCCTAGCTGTGCAGCCCTATTCCTCTATCCCTGGGAAGCCCCTGCTCTTCCTGGCCTTGAGAATGCTCTGATATGCATGTGGTATCCAGTCTTCCAAACAGCACCACTGTAATACCCATTTCAGCTACTATGAAAGATTAATACACTAAAGTCTCAGGCTGAAGGGAACATAAAGGACCGCTGTGACTCCTGTTTTATGACCTTTTTGTCAAAAGCACAAGACTCCGTTTTAAAGAGGCATTGTGCATTAGGTACAAAGCCTGGTGGGTGTGCCTGTATTGCAGTGGAGTATAGAGGTTCCTGAGCTAGTTTTAAATGAAGTGTGCTGGATATCACAGAGCAATCCAGCCGTGGGACTCAGCATGGGCTAAATTTACACTGCTTCTCTGCGCTGCGGCCGTACTCTGGTTTAGAGGTTTGACTAATGGTCTGCAGGTCTGAAAACTTCAGGAACAGCCTGGCATTCATCCCAGGTTCAAATAGGAAGCAAAGAGTGCCAAGAGACTTTGGAAAAAGAAAAAGAGCTGCTTGTCACCAGCACTTAGAAGATGTTAGCCCTTCAAGAGGAGATTCTGAGCTCCTGATGAGAGCAGTCATAAACTGCTTTCCAGTTTTACAGTTGTACAGCCAGGCTGGATCTTTTGTTCCCAGCACTTCTGAAGTTGCTAAAAAAAACCCAAGACAGTGATTGAAAGTCTCTTTTTCTCCTCCATTTTTGCTAGACTGACTCTCATAAGTAATGCTGGGCCTGTGCACACTGTTCTGTCTGGAACGAAACAGCCCCTTATCATGCAATGGAAAATCACAGTGGACACCTTTTGGGAAGACAGTTGGATAGATAGGAGAGCAAATCTTATTTTCTGCTAAAGCTTTTTTAGAGCAGACTGCCATCCCTGATTTTCCCTTCTACATATTGCTTTGTTCCGTGTGCCGATTATGCATAGATATGAGTGGAGAACCAACAGCTCCATGAGCCCAGAGTGTTTTGGAACACACAGGCTTGCATGAAAGTCAGGTTGCTCAGGTCCCGCTTAGAGCTCAACACGAATTAATGCTTCATGACCTGCTGTTTCAGGAAGTGACAGTTCTATTTTAAACCTCTTAGAACATGGTTATGACTCACTGGGTCATCTATGTTTTGAATGCAGCAGATTCTGTTGTGTGGGTACATGTATGTGTGATGTACATACCAGTGAGAAAAGGTAGGGTTGACTAACTCCTTCTACTTCTCAGTTCTATGAACTAGAGATCTTTATAGTTGCTTAACCTGAAGCTAAGAATGCAGTAAATACTGGATGGTAGGATTAGGAGCTTTCTGTGCAATCCACTGAAGAAGTAACAAGGAAATTTTGCACAACCAAATGCTTATTTCTGGTACCCAGCAGAACACAAGTCTCATTGCTGAACCATGAATTCAAAATTGACCATGAATGACCAAGGAAATTATAAAATTTCTTTAGCCAGCCAGGTAGAACATTCAAGTCTTTGATCCTGGTTTGCAGTAAAAATGCTGTTCTGATTAAATTGCCACTTAAATGGATATAAATCAGGAATAGCTTGTGTAAATCTTACATCTGTACTTTGCGTTCTGGTAAGTCTCATGGGCTCGACATTGATGTGATCTAATTGAAAGTGTCATTGAGTATTTATTCAGAATGAGTTTTGCAAGAGTACTCTGGGACACTTCTTTATTTAAGAAGAGAAAGTATGTTAAAAGAAAGGTAATTTACGAGGAAAAGTCAAGGCAACAATGCCCAGTATGAGGGCCTGGTTAGACACCTGGCAATGTTTAAGCCTTACTGTTCCTAATCCTTCAAGCCAGGCTTGCAACACTGGGAGCTTTTCTGTTCTTGCTCTTGGATATACTGACTGCTTAGAGGACAGAACCAGTCCCAACCTCTTCATTTTGTATTGGCTTAATAGGAGCAGTGTAAAGGACAATATGCAGCATACGTTAAAAGTACATGCCTGTGGGCTACATACATCATGCGGCTCGAAGGCTGCTGCCTTATAAAAGTAATATGGCCAAGAGACAACCATTATGATCAGGCATGTGGGCAGCCAAGTGTATCATGCTGCCAGGGGAAATGCCTACAGTGCAGCAGTTGGGAAATACTGATTAAGAAGTCCTAAAGTGGCTGCTTGCCCGTGACGAGTCATTTCTGCTGAAGCAGGCATCTTTCCAGGCTGATGGTTTCTAAATGCACTTTCAGGCTTGTGCGTTTTGGATGTGTTTAGCTGAAGCTGGTTTGTTCTTCCTATCTGTATCTGCAATGTCTCCTATCATAGCCATCATTTCAGCTTATCATCACCCTCCTGGGAATCTTCAGTTCCTCAACAGAACTGGCTGGAAACCTCCCCTCATACATCATTTCCTGAAGAATTCAATCAGCTTAGCAAGAAAGGCATAAGGCCAAAAGCTACAAATAAATAAGCTAAACTTTATGTTGGTAAAGGGAACACTAAATGTATCTGCTGCTTTCCTTCTCTTTTTCTTCCTTTTACTTTTTTTCCTCCTCAACCTCATTGTATGTGAAAGGTGAGGATGAAATTTGCCTCAGGCATGGGATGCTGTCATAATTAGACATGTTTCTAGTAAGATGTTTTGGTGTGTGTGTGATGAGGGTTTTTTATATTACAGTTAAGAATATATTAATGTCAGATTGCTGGCAATCTGATCAAAGCTATCACTCTGCAATTTTTCAATCTCCTGCTCTCTGTTTTGGGTTTATTTTTTCATTACAGGATTACATTGTTGCTCAGACATTTTATTTCTTATTTTAAATAAACTCTTCTACAGTAGTACCAGCAACCTAAGAATAAAGCAAGAGTCAACAATGAATATATTATCAATTTATTTCATTTGTCCAGTATTAGAGCTTTATCACAGATCTTGGCTGTATCTCATTCAGCACAATCATATCCTTGAGGTGTAATATTTCTGTGGGCTCCTGAGAGATGTTTTGTTGCACACAAGAGTACTGGTGCTAGTTCTGCCCACAGTCTGCTCGGCCCCTCACTACCAGAAGTGTCTGTGAGACTTATTTTGGCATGTATGTGACCTTTTGAGGTCTCCACTTAAAGGAAGTGTTAAATCTACATGATATTCTTAGCTGTTGACAGCGACGAGATGTTTTCCTAATCAAAAGAGGCAAGATTATGGTTGGTTTTGATGCTGTTCTTTTTTAAACTTCCTCATGGTGATTGTGCCAAATGATTCAAAGGCGAAGGAGCTGATGAAGTTAAATTCCGAGATTGCTTTGTCATCATAGAAGGATAACGACTGACTGCAAATGTTCTTCATGAAAAACAAGCTAAAGGCCCAAGTTTCTTCTCCCTGGTTCTGCTTGAGTGGAGACAGTCCCAGTGCACAGTGGCAGGCATGAGAGAAGGGCATACCTTAGGCAAGAATCCGAGGGAAGATGTATACCAGCACTTAAAAATGAAATAGCTGAGAGTTGGTTCCTCCTCACAGAGACCTAAGGCTGGAAGTTAGTGCCAGTTAGTTTTGAAAGCCACTCTTCCCCCAAGCAGCAACAGTGCCCTGCTTAATTTATGTCTTTACTGACATTTCCCTATTTGGCTTTGTCAAGTGTCTCTTCTGGAATCTGAATAACACTACAGCAGACAACTGCTAATATATTCTACTCTGTGCAAAAACCTCTTCTTGTTCCACTCTTGAGGTTTCAGATTGGAGATTTTCTAAGATGAGAGCACCAAGTTTTAAAGTAATGTATATATGTTACTGTGTATATCACTACACCCATGCATATAGATTTATATACGCATATAAACACAGAGTCATGTGTTATTAATGTTCTTGTGGTTGTGAATGCTTGATGATTCAGGAAGGCTTAATATGACCTTATAAAAAACATTTATTGGTGCATGGTAAAGTACAAGCTCCCCTTGCAACTCATTTATTTGATAGTTAACAAATTTGAGTTTCCCAGACACAGAGGGGAATTAGTGAGGTTTAACTGTACTTTGATTTTTGGTTGTTTAAAGATTTCCCTCATTAATGTCTTCATTATAAGCATCAGATGGTCTTCAAAGTTAGCTTCTGTAACATGGCACTGAGAGCAACTGAATCTGATCACTGGAGCCAAAGATCCTAGACTTCCTACACATCTTCAGCGTGTATCTACTGCTTTGAAGCATAGGTACCTGCAATTGTGTGGCTTTCACTGAAAGGTATATAACAAATCTGATGGGGTTTTTAATATTATGGGCTCAGTTTCCTTCGGGGGGATTTACAGTGTTGATCTCAGCAGAGTTTATGCAATATTGGACAGAAATGAGAAGTATCCTGACTCGGAGATTCAGCTGTCAAATGCTCTGAAAGCTGTTCTGCTGGGTGTGGGTACCACTGCTGGAACTTTGTGCTAGGAACTATGCAATCTTTAGTCAGCCTTTTTTTGTAGCTACACCATGATCTAGAGCTTGCTCAGTTGCTGTGTAAACTCATGAGTGGGTTGGCATTGTAGTAGGAAGTCTTTTTTTGAGGTCAAAACATTACAGTGTACTCTAGAATAGCCCCTGGCTAAAGCCATTTCAAATGAGAGTATGAATGAGATTTACAGCAAAAGTCTTTTCTTTATACACCAATGAAGGGTGAGAGCCTCATTCTGCCTGCCTGTGTGAGCTTGGCTGTTGATCTGCATAGCAGCAGGATCTGGGGTTCCTTGCAAGGTAAGGGCTTTGAAGCTCTTTAAGCTGTTGAATGCACATGTTTGTCCACAGAAAAGGGGGTAATTGTATGTCTGACAGAATAGTCTCAGTGTCAAGAACCATGATGTGTGACAGAGATGAAAGACGGGAGAAAGGGAAAATGGAGACAGGCCCGTAAAAGAGTGACCACAAAGTCTCTTTTGAGTAAACATCTTACGATGATATGGTGCTTCCTATCAGAACGGTGAAACTTCAACCTCTGCCTCTTCAGGAAATGATTTCCATTCATATCCCAGCATTTGATTGTGCTAATGGGACCTCTTTGTATGGAATAGCTGCTTCTGGAGAGCAGGATATGTTGTCACAGGCACAAGGCATAAGAAGAACCAATTTATGCTACCAGAGCAAAGAGTTAAGCTCTGGATTACAATGACAGGGACACTGTTTACTGAAGAAAAACACACAAATGAGGAAACTCGAACTTTAAGTACATCTGGCACTTATCCCTCGGTTTAGAGAATATCTGAAGCATCTCTCACTTCAGAAATCTCAAGAGACCAATTCAGAACTTCTCCAAGATGGTATTTTTCAGTGGGCTTCCATCCACTTCTCACCATTCTTTGGGACAGAAGGGTGTTCTTCTTTTTGTTGAGTAGCAATCAAGCTTTAAAATTCCTAATTCAGAACAGTAAAAAATAAGTGGCCACCAAAGTAAGAATGCTACTGACAGCTCTGTGGCCATTGGAGAACATGTCTGTATTCTGCACATTCTGCAAATGTTGTAGCTGAGAAAGATGGACCCCCTTTTTCAGCCCTATCTATCAAGCTGTTACCTGTTATGTAAAGGTAAAGACAGCACAGTTTAATATCTGGGAGGTTTTAGATAGGCTTGTCCTTCTAAAAAGCCATGATATCAGTTGCCATTATTAGTGGAAATCTTATCTTTTGCACAAGAAAAGCCACAGGGTTTAAGCTTATACTGAAATCCTGCAAGTATTCTCTGTGAACTCCTGAAGGGTAATACTCTCAACTGTCTTATAACTAAAATCTCCTGTGCTTGGTGGATGCAAGAAGGACAAACTGGTTACAGAGATCTTACAAAAATAGCTTGTCTTCCCCGTAAACCGTTAGGCAGTCCAGTATCATCTTTAAATCATAAAATACACATACGTGCTTGTAGATTCTATGCATTGCTTACACATCTTATGCTACAACTAATATGCCTTAGTTATTTGATGTTATGTGACTCCTTATTCTTGCATTCAATGCCACCAATATCACACTGTTAAAGATTAACTTGGCAACTATTTTGATAAACACACCCTGACTTCATTAACCTCTTGCAAGGACACTTGATGTTAAAATATGCCATTATTTAGTTCTAAGCATAACATGGGATGCACTTCATGCTTTATTGCTCTTAATGCTCTATTAGGAGATATAATTCACTCTCTCTTATAGTAAATGAAATCATTATATATTTATTTGACTCTTGGGCCTGAGGTCCAGGTACTCTGCTGTTTATTATAGAAGCTAACAAAATGTCTTGGTAGGCCTTTAAAACCTTAATTGCTTTCTGTTTAGAGATGGCCATTAGCCATTGCTGCTGAAAATGCTAAAATACCAACAATACTTCCATACTCCCAGGAGACCAAAGCTGGGCAGTTCCCTGTGTTTCTTTCTAATATTCAGAAGAGGCCCCCTCTCCCATAGTATGTTCTCGTGAATAATTGGTCTCAGCTGCCCAGTTTGGCCTCTTAATGATTTCAAAGGTTTTATGATTTAATAAGAGAAATTAATAAGATAAGCTTAATACCAGTTTCAGCCTAGGGCTTTCTTTTCCTCACCGTGCACCAGTAGTGAAGATGATTGCTTTTCTAGCAGTGATATTCTTCCTAGGCATCTGTTGTAGGGAGTGCTGTAGAGTTTATCGCTGTGCTCTGGATTCCTCTTATTTGTCTAGGGACTTTGGGTTTTGTGGGGTTTTTGTTTTGTTTTGTTTTTCTTTTGGTTCTTGCAAGACCTTAGCTCTAGGCTAAAGCCATATTAAAAAGAAAGGGAAATTACTGGGGTCCTGTCTCTCAAAGTAATTTTACTTTATTAATATTTGGTGCTGATGGAATTCCAAGCAACTTATTATTTGGTCAGTTGAGGGGAAGAAGGAAGAGGTAAAGAAGAGGCACCAGCTGTCAGATGAAGAGCATTTCCAAAAATCCTTAGACCAACTTAAAGGAATAGGCAATGTAGACAAGAACAGTAATTCCCAGGTGTTGTTCTTTGATCTTTCCTGAGATGTTTCCTATGAGAAGAGTTTGCAAGAAATTATTCTGCTGTCAGTTGTCAAAACTGGATCTGAACAATGAAATGGAGAGGGAAAACTCTCATCTTGCTGCTTATCTGTATCTTTTTCTTTTTCCTGCAACTCTTGTGATTCGGCTGTGTCAAGAAGGATCTTGCTTTGAAATCATTAGATAAATCAGATTCAAATCATGCTGATAGTTCTGTAACATACCTAAATCTTTCTCTTCCCTTGCCCTCTTCTTCAAAGGGAAATGTCCTGAATTAGAATAATAGCCTTTTGCTTAAACTGGAATAATAATACACAGACCTATTTCTTTTCAGTGTAGTTGTGAGATGCTATCTCTGGACTGGAACACCAGTTCCACTACCTGATATGTGACTGCAGCACACAAACAATAGATGTTTTTATGAATCTAATTCCATGATTGTTCCTTTTATCTTCTAGTATTTAATGATGGGAAAGCTTTTATTCTTTCATGCATATGCTACAATGTTTGCAGGTCACTGATGTGAAACAGAGTGAAACTTCCAGTGATGTAGTACATTGGTGTGTCTGGATTCTTCCAGGAATATGCATGTTTTCTGGGTATTATTCTACAGGTAAGAAATCAGGGCATTACACCTGCCTTCTTTGTTCACCCATTTCCCAGTGTATTACCATATAACACAGCACAGGCCAAAGTAACCCAGGCTGATCAGGAGCCAGTGGCCAACCTCTGCTATGGGTATGGACTTTCAGAGGAGCTCCCCAGTCCCTGCTAGCAGCAGTGATGTGTGTGAAAGCAGAGATTGCTGCCAGTTCTGGGCAGGTTGACAGCTACATCGGTGACAAACAGAAATCTCAGAGTGCCACTTCAGGTACAAACCTTGCTTAGGGAACAATTCTCAGCATACTGAGCTCACAAACCATTCAAGATTGAGACAGTAGAAATAACTTGTACACCTCCAGCTCCCATTGCCAAGAAGGATTCCAGCTTTCTGAGGAACTCTCAGAACTGATCCAGATCCAGATCTGGGCAAGCAGAGAAGGTGAATGGTGTTGGCAGCCAGGCAGAGAGCCAGCGAGCTGTTCTCTTGCAGGCTTGCACGGCTGCACAGAGCAGAACGTCTCCCTCTACCACTTAGTAAATTCATGACATCACCAGCTGTTACCAGGGAAACACAGAAATTACCGATTTGGATCTTGGCAGCTAGGTGTGTAGAGGAAATATCTTGCTCTTTTGTGGGTCAAAAAGGAAAGCTGAAACAAATTCCAGGACAGCTTTGAATTGGAACGAAGTAGGGGTAGGTTAATAATGCCAAACCAAACAATTATAGCTGCTGAAGTGCCAGTGTGGTCCCCATTATGTCATTTACAGAAAACAAACATGGGAGATCAAGTGCAGGACTTCTAACTCCATGAAGCTTAAACATATCCTTCAGACATCAGACTGTTACCACTGACTTACAACTTCAGTTCTGACCAGTGGGTTTAACAAGTTGATTTTAGAGGTGTGCTATCTTCTGAGCAGTGATTTTTCAGAAAGTGCTAATGCTTGCTGCTTCTTGAGGAAGAGTTTACTTGCGTTTCACAGCAAAGGAAGTATGTAGCGTTGAGTTTTGATAGAATTGTGTGCAAATACCGTTGTTGTTGTGATGAAATATGTGCTTTTTATAGCTTTTAAAAATGTGCAGGGTTTGTGAGAACTGAGGACTTTAGGAATGTATTTTATGGCTTTGAAGTGCTTGGGATTTTTGAAGTTACAGAAATCACGTTTTTGTCATTTAGTAACATTACCTGATATTTTATTTATGTTGCATGTTTAAATGAAAACACTGCCTTTTAAATGGATTATTATTAAAGTATTGGATAGTTGAGAGACAGCTAATATTAGCTCTTGCACAGTCCTGTTTGATTTCCTTCACATTGCACAAGATTTATAGGTTTGGTACATGAGTTATGACAAATGCATGCATCTTCCCTGCAAAGGCAGATGGAACAAAGTTGAGTGAATACTCAAGCTGAGCTCAGGTGTGGAATTGTAACAGCTACCCCATTTGTGCCTGCAAGGCTTTGGGCTGTGTGTGGCTGTACTTCCACCTGGAGATCCCAAGTCAGAAAGGCAGAGGTTGTTATGCTCACCAGATGTGGGAGAGATCTGAGACAATCTGTATGGAGTGTTAAAGAACTAAGGACTCGCCCTATTTGTCTGTGTCTCCACTAAGGAGCAAAATTCTGCATTAAAAGTCCCCATGCTGCTAGTCTGATGTCAAATGTATCCATGATGAAGGTTCTTACATGGACACTGAGCAGCATTTCTAACACTGCTCTATAACTCTCGTAAACAGCACAGGAACATGTTTAATCTGATTTGTGTTCTCCATATTAAAACCCAGACAAGTTCTGCTTGCCAAACAATCAGTCTGTCTTTCCCCCATTCTGTTGGTGGCCTTGGATCCTGGGATTTCTCTGCCACAAGAGAGCAGTTTGCATACCGTCTGGGTCTTGTTATCTGGGGCATGGTTCAGTGTTCCCTGTTGTGCGTTGTTTCAGTGGGATAATGACCAAGGAAACTGCTGAGCCATGGACGGATTGCAGGGATATGTCATGAGAAAGCCGCCCAGAGTTGTCTGCCCACATGCTGTGATGCTGGCTTACATTTCCAAAGCAGAGCTGCAGACAGAGGAGACCGTAAGTGCTCCAAAGGACTTAGCTATCTATGCAAGCTCCTTTTTTTATCCTTTGCACTAAGTCACTTTGAAAGGCTCCTTTTTTGGTTCTCTTTAGTTAGACTGCTGGTTCCTTTTGCTCGTGTGCCCCGTCACAGCCCTGAGACTTGTGACTGGGGCTACAACAGCTATTGGATCTGTTGTCATGTTTTTTCTCTCTGGAATGGTGGAAATGGCATCCTTCCCCACTTTTCTTTAAGGATATGGAAGATGCTTCTGAAGAGGAAGTAATTTACTTCTTGGGAAGAGTCACATACAACCAGGATGGGTCCTCCATGCAGACTTCCAGCTTGGAGGTATGCTCTGGAATTCCCGTGGGGAGGAGGACGTTTTCATTTGTGTGTTGAATTCATGGTGTTTGCAATCCTTGCCATGGTTTTAGAACTAGTTGCACTCCTGTGGCCTGCACATCCATCCCAAGTACACTCTCCAAATGTCTGAATGCTGGTTTCTCTGGAGCTACTCTGAAGTACCCAGAAGGGATCAGAAGGAAATACTGTGTCACTGCATGAGCCCCACACAAGCCTTCAGGAAAATAAATGGTTATGTCAAGTGTGCATTAATCAGACCAATGTATGGCATCTCTTATTTAATATACATTGGCACTTGTAATTGTAAATTACTACAGGACACTTTCACATTTGTGCTGATGTTCTTATATGTGGTGAGGTGGAAAAGGAGGGGCAGTTTAATGGGGTGTACAGGGACAGGAAGAAAAAGAGCTCCTATCTGATGTTCTCTTCACCATAACCATGTTGACTCCTGGATTCAGAGAAAGGGAGAGTGAAGGGAACTCAGTGAAGAATATCCTTATACGCTAAACTAATTGTCTTTCTTGTGTTTTCATCTTCCTTTTTCTCAGGAGACAAATGGAAAGAATTTTCCACACCAAAACCTGAGTCATTCATCCTACACATGTATTTATTGAATTGAACTGGTTGGAGCCCTGTCCCCTGAAAGAATGCAGCTGTGAAGAGCCATAAAATAGATCATTGCATCTGGTAACTGCATTAATGTGAGCTGGTAACAGAAACGGATGCAGAGTGATTCTTTCTAGTCCTGCATTGCACTGTGATGGGAAGGATGATAAAGAAAATTTCTGCTGTGCTGATTGTCATTATGATAGATGAAAGCCCCTCTAAAGAAGATAATTTCTTGTCTCTTTCTTGACCTTCACACACATGTTGAGTCTTAGCTGCTGACTAAAGGTGGCAATAAAGATAATCAAATGTTTAAAGGCCCTAATTAAAATCTAATAGCAACATGAAGGGAAGCTGAGGTCTGTTCTTTTTGTACTAGCTCATCACTAATGGAATTGGTACCACATTTTTCCTGTTAAACAGCTAATTCTGCAGTAGGGCTGAAAAAAGGATCTGGGTTGACTTTCACGCTCCAGTGGACTTACCATTACAAAGAAAACCTTCCTACTATCTTCATTAGGAAGAGAGGGACATGGTGTGAGAGACAACTCATCTTCAGCTCCGTGTTGAGGGATTTGGCGGCCTGCAGCTAGAGATACATTCGGAAATGGGATGCACTGTCTGAGACCTGGCACTGGCCAGTTTTGATTTACTACACTCCCCAAAAGAGACTTTGCCAAAAAAGGAGAAAAATTCATCACCTATTAGAGCGTATCTTGGCTGTACTATGCAAGCAATTTAGTAGCCTCTGTATATGAGTACTGGCAGTCTTTGAGACAAAAGAAGTAGGGTTGCTTTGTGTGCACTGAAGAAGTTTTGCTTTTGACCTCACTGGAGCCATGATTCTTCACCAGATCCATAACCTGAAGGTCTAAAGTGCCCATAAAAGGGCTACTGCAAATCTGTAAAGTCATAATCATCACAGTCCTCAGTTGACCTGACAACCAACACCACTCCTGCTTAGGATCTAGCCTTGCAAACCTGTAACCCTCTGTGTGTGCCACAGTCAGTACTCACTCGTGAGACTGCTTTGTCCCCACCTTTTATTTTACTGGAACTTTTTTGACGATAAAGACCATCTTTTTTAGGAAAAAATAAAGAAGTGTTTGAAGGCAAATTATCCTCCTGGGAACTTGGTGCTCCAGTGTTTGGGCTTTAAACATTCTGGGACATGCTGATTTTGTTTAATAGCTACAGCCCTTGCTGGAATGTTTTTAAATTGTGTAAACATTCCTACTAGTTTTATGGGTTTATAAACTGGGTTTTTTTTTATGTGGGTACAAATTCAAGTTGACAGTGTACTTTCCAAGCTTCCATTAAATAGGGACAACTTGCTATTGATAGAGGAACATCTCTGAAATAACTTTATGATGTCTTGCAATGGAAGACTTTTCATTAACTTTGGTTAGAAAAACAACCTGCCATGTGTTTGTACGGCTTTTACCAGTTCTTACTGTGCCCTAATGTCTGTGAGACTCCTGCTGGTGGGAAGTGAAAAAGTCCAAGGATAATTGAAAGGAGAAAGGAATGTATTTTAATTGTACACTGTGTTTGCCAGTGACTGTTATCATGCAGCCATCAAAGTGCTTTGAAACTTCGCACTTAAAGGTAGCAGTATGATGGTGCATTCCTTACATACACTGTTTTACCTCTCTTCAAGTGTGTCAGCGCTGCTTTAAAAGATCACTATAGAAAACCTCTGCAACTACACCGTCTGGTTTCAGCTTACCTTAATTTAGTGTCAGCCAAGCTCCTATAGTCCACATGATTAAAAGGGACAGAGGTATACCTGCCACATTTTGGGGATTTAAGCCTACATTTTCCCCCTGTAAATTTTGACCTTATCAAAATAAACTTCTCCAACTTCCCCTGAAACTGGAAGATAAAGCAAATATTTGCTACTATTATTGGAAATTAGTGGATGTTTGTGACTGTTGTTAAACCTCCTGACTGGAGTAGTTTCCTGTTGAGGAACGTTGTGCTTGTGTTACTCCCCATGGTGGGGTTCTCTAGCTTGCCCCATGCTGAGCCTGCTTCTTGAAGGCTCTAAAGAGGGAGCAGGGACAGCTTCCATCCCTTCTGCTGAGTAGCTCCATGAGGAAAGAGAATGTACTGTCCATAAAGAATCGTGTAACCATTGTCTGATGGTGTGCTTGACTCTGGGACTGAAGGGAGTTGGGGTGGGTACTGGTGTGTGCCATGTATACTTGTTTCCTCTGTTCCCAGAAGTGACTCAGCCTTGGGAACAGCTCCTTAGTGAGCTGGTTGGGAGGCTTGATGAGCTGCTGAATTCCTCCTTGTCTAGTTTCCCCTATCCAGCTTGCCTCAGATTGTCACTGAGCTTTATTGTTTCTACACACACACACCACGTTTAAAACCATACAGATGACACTTCTCACACTGCAAATGCAGTTACACACTGCTCATGCTTTGCAGCTGGTTGAGCACCAATGAAACAAATTAACTCGGTAACTGAGCTGGGAAAGTGCACGGAAATACAGTTTCTAATGCTTTCTTACAGATATTCCCATTGGACCATGCGAAGAACTCTTCCCATCTACACTGTGAAAGAAACACCAGAATATAACTTTTCTTTTTTTTTTTTTTTTTTAAAAAAGCCTTTTAAAATTAAAACCTTTGAGAACTTAAATTAAATGCACTGTGAGAAAAACGTGCCCTTCGCTTATGACTATTGACTTGAGGTTTATACGTTATTGCCAAGTCCTGGAATGAATAAAGCTTTAATGTTGAAATCAGGAACAATTGTTTTGTGCATTTTTTCATGCTGAGGCAATAAGAAAATATATGCTTAGATTCCATGTAGTATATACTGGAAAGGAGGGGTTTGGATTGCAAGCAGTGAAGCTGACTTGTTTAGAACTTCCAGTCCCCTTAGGAGACATTTTCCAATAGGTCCCTTGAAAATTCAGGAATTTTCCAGGATCGTGGGGAATGAGCATAAAGAGAGAAAAATCTTCTTAAACCTACATTTTGGTTGGAAACCTGAAACACATAGTTGAGATGTGGGCATTTCAGCCTCGCTTGTGCTGAATGCTGCCTTTCTGTTCTGCAGAATACATGCTGCTGGATTGTGCAGGAGGCAGATGCTTTAGTGGAACTTTGATGCCTCATAATGTGCATATTTCCTCTCATTTCCAACTGTAGCACGCCTGCTTGTCCGCTCACTTTTATCTGTTTGCTTTATACCTGCACATCCTAAGCGCTCATTCTGAGGAGGAAGCCCCCCTCCACTGATCACTTGCACGTTCTTAGCAGCGTGTTTCCCCGCGGGATTCATACGTTAATCCCATGTTAGCAGGGAACCCCCTCCCTTTCCAGGGCAGCTCCCTGCTCTACCAGGCGGCCGCAGGTGCTTGCCTCGCCTGCCCTCTGGCGGCGGCGGCTAGCAACAGCAGAGTGCCGGCAGCGGCAGCTTGTAGGGGTCTTGATGGAGCCACTCGTGTTCGAGGGCAGAAGAGAGTAGGGAAGTCTGATAACTCATTTCTCACGTGCAATAGCATGTTTGCTCTTCTTTTGTGACCAGCACAGGTTCTTTTACTGACAAGTGTAGTTTTACTACCTCATGCAGTGTTACCCCCAGGACCACCACACCTCCGGCAGCTGGTACATGGGACTTCACAGAACATCCTGTTGGTGGGGAGTAGCAGAGGTAAGAACTGAGTACATGCAAAAAGGAGCTGCAGAGGAGCAGCGCCCAGAAATGCAGGTACTGCTCCTGTCATGCAGGCAGAGAAGACATGAAGTAGATGGGAACCAGAAATACTTCAAAGAGGAACAAAACTACTGGTGAACTCTTCTGCAACTCCAGACAGGGGGAGATATTTTCAAAGCAAGGGGGGCATAAGAAGAAAGCTGAGCACTCTAGTTCTGAGATGTGGCTCAGGGAACATTACACAATAGCCCCAGACTGAGACAGAAGATATATTATTGCATGTAATGAGAGGGGCTGGGAAGAAAAACTGAACAAAGACAGAAAAACATAGCCAGAGAGCTAGGACAAACAAAAATCTCCAAGGAGAACATCACAAAGACTGACCTCATGGTGGCCTTTGGTAGGACTCAGAGCTGGGAAGATCTGGCAAAACCATTTCTTTCTGAACTCTGAGGTTCTGTATGTAACCATTACATTGGGAATGTTGTATTTTTGTTTAACCCAAAATTGATTATAAACACTGCTTTGATTAACATTTAAAATGATTGCTATTGTGCTTTGATTTTCCAGGCAATTCTGTCTATTTCAGAACACAGTTTTGGGTGCCTGTATTTCATGTGGGTTGTAGATAGATGTGCACATTCTGGGCATGCACACTGTAGGTCCTTAACCCGTCCTGTGTTAACTCATTATAAAGACACACACAGAGATACTACATTCATGACCTGTGCTTGTTCTTTAGGACTGTGCCTGTTTGTTCGTCGCTAATAAAACCTGGTGTCTTTCTTTGAGCACTGAGCTCTATGCATACATGTCACTGATATAGATGGCTTGGATTTTCAACGTTATTTTTCCTATTTTAGAGCTATACCTCTATGAGGAAAAATACACTTGAGTGCTCAGCATCACTCGTGCTAGTTCTCTTTGTCATTACTTGAAAGAGAAGAATGTGTAGGTATATATTCCGGGTACATTCCCAGCAGCACTTTCTGTGAGTAAGCAACCTGGAAGGAATATATGTCTCTTTCTGAAGAAAACGTGTTTTCTGTCACTAGTATGCCATCAGTTTGTCCTTCCCAGTTCCTTTTCCTGTGCCTGTTTGTCTTGGATGTCTTAAAAATTTCCAGTGATTTTAAATCTCTAGCAAAGAGATTTGGGCAAAGCTGGTGGGGAAGAGCTGACCTCAGCAAGCCTGTGCCACTAAGGTGAGCAGAAAAGGTAGAGTGAGGAAGAGCTGTTCTCTAGGCTATGGGGCCTTGCTTTGGTAAGTCTGTTCCCAAAAGCTGTCTGCCACAGAAAACTTCAGTGCTTTGGTCTAATGCTCCTTGGTGTATGATGGCAGGAAGCTCTCAGGAGTGGAGGGTCAGTGGGTGGGATGGTACTGTTAATTTTATGAGGGATACAGGAGTGTCAAACAGTTCCTGGTGCTTTTAGGAATGAAGAACCAGTGCCTGGGAAAATACATTTTGCTGGTCTCTGTTCCTTGCTACTGTGGACTAAATCTTCAGATACTTTTCTTGAAATTAACTTATTTTAGCTAACTTTGTTACGCTTTCTCTTTGTTTTAAGCATTCCAGTTCTTTGAATTCATGGTTCACCTAAGAGGACAGATTACAAGACAGAGAATGTGAACTGCCTGGCTTTCTCTCAGGGGACAAAAGAGGTGGAAAGCACAAGAACTGTGCTTGAACAAGTAGTGTGGGGATCATTCAGGCTGCGTTACACAAATGTGGCTTTCAGACAAGATATGACAATGTAGGCACCTTTGGGCAGCCTCTTGGAATTTGTAAGGCTCCAGAGTGTGGCTTCACCCCAGTGGGCACGTTGAAGTGGGAATGTCATTCAGGAGTCCAAGGTCCTGAAAGAGTTCACAGAGACTTTTCCACTCCTAACCCTGCAAACCACTGACATTATTCTCCAAATATTCCTTTGTAGGCAGAAGAGTATTTGTGATTCCTTTGTTTTGCTCATTCTCCGCTCGGTGCAAGAGGATTCCATGTCAAGCAACACTCACCTTATGACCTGCTGCTGTGGGGTTCTGTGCACCTGTAATACTCTGAGCACCTTCAGTTTCTATTGACATCTCTGAGAGTTTCAGGCTGTCAGAAATGTTGGGGCTCAGAGCCCACCCAAGTCCTCATTTGAAGGCAGCACATGATGCCTCAGTCTCTCTCAGCAAAGCAGCGTGTGTTATGCCAACAAGAGCTACTGCATTTGTTCCATGGACATCACCAGGGAGACATTCTTCCTTTATCATTTACTTACCATTAGCTCAAATTTCAACCACAAAAGGAGAAGCTCCCTTCCTGGGAAAAGTTCTCAGCTAGCCTGCAGTCTGTCTGCTAAACTGTGCTACGTTTTTCTGCTTCTCCCCATGTTGTGACTTTCTATGGCCAGTTTTGGCTAGAATTATACTATGCAAGATGAAGAAGAGCTCCCAGCCTCCAGCTCACACCCTCTCAACGTCTGTTTTTCTGGGTGTTTATGGTAAGGCTTTGCTTTGCTACCTGCTGCAGGGTGTCGTGATTCCTAGCACTGCACAACACTTGTGTTTTCCTGCTCGCAGAGTTCTCTGCTTAGGCTGAATTTTAATCACACCTGTGTGCTTGTGTGTTCATGTGTATGCACACATGCATGCATGTGTGGGCACATGTGTATGCATGCATGTGCTCCTGCTCATGTGCCTATGTGTGATTTTAATTAGTCACACTAGCTTCAAAGCCATATGAAATACTTTTCCACTGATAAAGTGGTTTTGATCACCGTGAAGGGGAGAAGACAAAACAGTAAGGATTGGGCAGCAGAGTTGGGCACAAAACTGGAATGAAAAGGTAGCTATAAAGACAGGATTTCCCTGGTAAAGGGGGAATAAGTCAACATCATGATTCAATAAATCTGGGAAAAGGTTCCAGTATGGGATCAATTTCTAAGGTCCATGTCGATAAGGCTTTTAATTGGTGGGCTAACTTGATGGTGTTCATGGTTTTCAGCATGAATTCACCTCCAAACACACACCAAAAAAATAGCAGGAAGGAGAGTGGCATAAAATACAGATTGATTTGTCCAACCAGGGCAACTGGACTTTTGAAAAGACTTCATCCCTTTAGGAAAAAAATGTCTCCTGTAGTGTAGCTCCATTAGATGGAGGAAGTCTGGCAAGGAGGAGTTTGACTATTTGTTTCTGCGCACTGACCTTGCATCAGGGAATCAAATCTGCTCCATTTGTGTCTTCTGAATACCTAAGGAGAGGTACCCGGCTCTCATAGGCTCCACCAAAGCTCTAACTTCTGGCCCCTGTGGAAAGTCCCTGCTTTCAGGTGCTGCAGGGATTTTAGCTGAGAGGAGCACCAACGGCTATGGAAGGTGTGAGAGGCAGATGGGAGGCATCCTGAGAGCTCACCACAGGGACATAAACCCATATGAGCAGAGGCTCTTACAGGGAATGGCAGCTTGAGCCAGTGCGTCTGAGAGGACTGGCATGTAACAGGATGACATGAAGTAGTCTTATTTTTGCTACCTGGAGGTGAGGCCTAGGGAAAGACAGAATAAGGTTGCTAAGGCAGGGTCCCAAAAGTGGTCAAAATCTGAATTCCCTACCGACTACTACAGTGCGAGCCCTTGTGTTGTTACACCTCATTGCAGCCAGTATGAACCAAGGGGTTAGCATTTCTGAGGTGAAGGTTGGGCAAGTTTGTGGGGATGTCACTTCCTCCCTTAGAGCCTTGGGAAAGAGATGAGATTTGCCAGATGTGTTTTGATATGTTGGATCCATTGGACCTACTTCTAGTAGCCCTCTGCCAGGCAATCCATAGATGTAACGGCACAGGTTGCACCCAAGGCTAGGTTACTCTATTGGCAGACTGGAGCCAAGGCTGGTTGGGAGTGAGTGAAAGAGAGCCTGCCTCCAAGCTGCAATCGATGGGGAGGCCACAATAGCTCAGATCCCTCCAGTGATGACAAGCTGTGCAGAGGAGACATAGGAGTACTTCTCATCCTTGGGGATCACAGCTTAGAGAGTGTGTGTTGGGGTGTTCGGTCTCTGAATTTCAGGGACTTGACTAGGTCGTGGCAGTGAAGCTGAGTGGAGTCT